TGCCATCTGGCCTCAATATCTTGTGATTTGTAATATAGATATTTCACCTGGAATCTGTTTTCCTTTGAAGTTGCATGTTTAAGAGGAATTATTTACTATCTTTGAGCATTTTATTTTCTTTTAATATAAAAGCTATAAAATATAAGATGTGGAAAAGAGAAAATACCTGAATAACAAGTGAAGTACAGTCAAAAACAAAGTCATATGAGGCTGGGCATGGTGGCTCACACCTGTAATCCAAGCACTCTGGGAGGCTGAGGTGAGCAGATTGCCTGAGCTCAGGAGTTTGAGACCAGCCTGAGCTAGAGTGAGACCCTGTCACTAAAAAGACAGCAAGTGTTATGGCAGGCACCTGTAGTTCCAGGTACTCGGGAGGCTGAGGCAAGACAATCACTTGAGCCCAAGGGTTTGAGGTTTCTGTGAGCTATGACGTCATGGGAGTCTACCAAGGGTGACAAAGTGAGACTTGGTCCCAGGGGGAAAAAAAAATCCTGTAGTTTGATTTTGTTCATTCTTTGGAAAACTTGTTCCCAGACACTCTGTTACTGCAAGTGTATATGCATGAAACTATATTTCTCATGTTTACGATAAAAGTATTTTCTTTACTGTTGAGGATAGAGCCAGAGTTCTTTCTGTTTGGTACCCAGGGCCATGTACTCCTAGCCTCTGTTTCTCTTTTGCTCAGACCGAACAAGTGGAAAGAAATTACATTAAAGAAAAGAAAGCAGCAGTGAAAGAATTTGAAGACAAGAAGGTTGAGCTGAAAGAGAACCTGATTGCTGAGCTAGAAGAAAAGAAGAAAATGATTGAAAATGAAAAGCTGACGATGGAACTGACTGGAGGTATGAAAGACCCATGGGGTGGGTTCCTGGGAGCCCTGAAAGAGCTGTACTTATTGCTTCTGTCTTCTAACTCAAGAGCAGGGCGAGGTGAGGGAGAGTGGACTTTGACCTCGCGGAGCAGAGTTCCAGCTTCACCTTGCATTGGCTGTGTGACCTTAGTTGAGCTGCTTAACTTCTCTGCATCTACTTCCTCCACTTTAAAATGGGGTTGGTCAGGGTGGCGCCTGTGGCTCAGAGGAGTAGGGCACTGGCCTCATATGCTGGTGGTGGGGGGTTCTAACCAGGCCCTGGTCAAAAACTGCAAAATAAAATAAAATAAAATGGGGCTGGCTCGGCGCCTGTGGCTCAAGTGGCTAAGGTGCCAGCCACATACACCTAAGGTGGCGGTTCAAATCCAGCCTGGGCTCACCAAAACAACAACGATGGCTGCAACCAAAAAATGGCCAGGCGTTGTGGCGGGCGCCTATGGTCCCAGCTACTTGGGAGGCTGAGGCAGGAGACTCGCTTGAGCCCAGGAGTTGGAGGTTACTGTGAGCTGTGATGCCATGGCACTCTACCCAGGGGGATAGCTTAAGGCTGTGTTTCTAAAAAAAAAAAAAAAAATAAAATAAAATAAATGGGGCTGGTCATACCCTGTCTGACAGGATTGTAGTTAGGCACAAATGCCTAGTATAGTGTCCTGTAGATAACAGGTGTTCAGTAGATGGCAGATCTCTGGTAGTAGTTGCAAGTCTAGCTCATGCTGTACTCAGTTCTTGGGACATTTGCATCTTTGTTATGTTACCAAGTTATTTACCCAACTCCATCACTGGTGATGAGAATTTTCTTTTTTTTTTTTTCCCTAGTCTGCCTTAATTACAGAAAAGGTATTGTCTTTCTTTGACCTAGATCTGAGAACAAAGGCTTTCAGCTATGTAATGTATGCTATTAGATCTCTTCCACCAGGTGTTACTGTGAACGTTACGGAAAGACTGGATATGATTCCAGCAGTGTAGCTAAACTTAACTAATTCCTATGAAGATAGTAAAGTTGCATAAGACTCAGAGCCAATCCCTTCTTAGCCTTCTAGGGCTTAGTAAATCCACATATGGAAACTCAGCAGGTTGCAGGCAAGTTGAAAAGAAGCAATATGGGTGACTCCACTGTTGCCTTACGCAGACTGATGACGCCTAGAAGGATACAGGGAATTGGCTTGAACTAGCTATTTTGGAATGTGGCAAAACTGCAAGGCAGGTGAGTGGTGAGTTTGTCACTAGAATATGGAAGTGGCCTGCCTTTCTGTACACCCGCAAATTTAACTCATAATTATGTTTGGAGGGTACTAGGGCTTTGGCATGTCTAATTTTAGCTGGATTTCATAGGAAATACATGTTTTTATGGAAGTTCTTGGGACTGACTTTGAAATTGAAGGTATCTAGTTAAGGTATCTGTGTTCCTCCCTATATATTTCTAATGCTGTGAACCACCCTAGCCCTCTGCTTGACACTCTAGGCCTAGTCCCATGGTTACCAAAGAGGATGTGGTTGTGCCTGAGGTGGAATCTAATTCTTTTCTTTCCTTTTTTTTTTTTTTTTTGTTTGTAGTTTTTTGGCCGGGGCCAGATTTAAATCTGCCACCTCCAGTATATGGGCCTGGTACCCTATTCCTTGAGCCACAGGTGCTGCCCTGGAATATGATTCTTAAAAAATCTCTCCTTAAATAGCTTCCTCATCAAAAGACTTGGCAAAAGGAGCAAGTTCCTTGAAGGCTACTGAAAATGGCTCAGCAATGTTTTTCTTGCTGAGATCGGATGCTAAACCAGTAGCTTCCAGCAGCACTTCCAGTCTTGATCCTGTGGCAGTGCTTTTCCAATGGGACAGGTAGCACTGTGGTGCCTGCTGCCTGCTTTCTGCCTGGCACACCATTTCCTCTGATGGTGGCTTGGTGGCTGTGACCGGTGTTGATGCCTCATTGCTCTCTGCTAGAGCTACCAGATGTTTGGGAGCCTTCATTAGGCTAGTGGGAAATATCGCCGGTTTATAGCTGCTCCCTTTCCATCTGCAGGGAAGGGTATCGTCACCTTACTCGTGATTTGGCATCCTAATTATTAACAAGCGATAGATATTGTTTGGTCAGGCAATTTTACGGCCAGAATCTTAACAGGGACAGGAGGCAGCTTCTGTGACTTGAGCCTACTAGGGTAGAAAAGACAAATAAATGTGGGGAAATCATCTGTAACACAGTAGAAATAGATTATAGAAGTGTTTAAAGCCAGCCATGGCTTTAAAGGTACCGATGTCCTTCCTCAAGCCATTTGGTACCCTTGGTATGGAAAGCACTGCCAAGGTAATGATAGAGTGTTGGAAGAAGAGGCACTGGAGCTAGAAGGGTAATTAGCCTTTCCACAGATGGTGCTGCTATGGTGTTGGACTAAAGGTCTGCTTTCATTCCTCTAATTGAGTGACTTATTTCACTTTTGTGGATTGATGCCCAATATTAATGTCGCCCAGCTCTGCCCAAAAAAGATATTTTTAAAGTCTCCTTTTCTGGTTGAACGTGAAGATAACTTCCAAACACGAGGCTGATGAGAAGCATAGTCCAAATAACCCATTGGAAACAGTTGTGTTTGGTGACCTTCCCTGTCCAACCATGACTAAAAGCTTTTACAAACCTCCATAGGAATGGGCAGGATGTACTCTTCACCATTCAGCTCTCTCACGGAGAACTTAAGGAAAACCGGGTTGTGTAGGTGGAAAGGTACCGTGGATAAAGGGGCTAGAATGAGTTATATAGGTCAGTGCTTCTCCAACTGTTGTGTGTATATGAATCACTTGGGGGGATCTTGATAAAAGGCAGATTCGGAGGGCTGGGCGTGGTGGCTCACCTGTAATCCTAGGCAAGTGGATTGCCTGAGTTCATAGGTTTTTTGAGACCAGCCTGAGCCAGAGTGAGACCTTGTCTGTAAAAATAGCTGGGCATTGTGGCGGGTGCCTGTAGTCCCAGCTACTTGGGAGGCTGAAACAAGAAAATTGCTTAAACCCAGGAGTTTGAGGTTGCTGTGAGCTATGATGCCATAGCACTCTATCACAGGTGACAAAGTGAGTCTCTGTCTCCAACCCAAAAAACAAATTTGCAAATTTGGGTTCAGGGTGTCTTTTGTGGAGGCTGAGATCCTACATTTTAACTACCTCCCAGGGCTGCTGGTAGGATGGTACTTTGAGTGGTGAGCTTATAGAGAGAATACCAGAGTTGGAGTTTTCTCTGAGTTGAGGCCAAGATTGTAAGTAACTCAAATAATCATTGAGAACCTAATGAGCTTTAAAAAGTGAGGAGCTTTGTCATTTTTAATGTGTTTTTCATATTCTTTATCACAGCTGCCTTTTCTCCTTCCACCAGCCCATTAAGTGTCACTTCATTTTCTTGTTTACTGGGGGCATCTTCCAACCCTCAGTCTCCTATGGAAGCTACTCATGACCTCCCAAGCCTGGGAGTTTCCTTTAGTACTGGATTCCTAGCTGGTACCATGAGTCATTGTAATGTTAAGAGAAAAGTCGTTTTCTTGAACCTTAAATCCAGCTAGGCATTATATAAAAATAGAGCTGGCTTGGTGCCTGTAGCACAGTGATTACAGTGCCAGCCATATACACCGGGGCTGGCAGGTTCAAACTTGGCCGGGCCAGGTAAAACAACAATAACTGCAACAAAAAATAGCTGGGCATTGTGGCAGGTACCTGTAGTCCCAGCTACTTGGGAGGCTGAGGCAAGAGAATCACTTGAGCCCTAAAATCAGAGGTTGCTGTGAGCTGTGACGCCAAGGCACTCTGTCTCAAAATAAATAAATAAATAAATAAATAAATAAATAAATAAATAAATAAAAATAGCAGAGCTGCCTCTGCAGGCTCATAGACCTGGAGTGAATCCTGGCTCTGTATAGACTTAGTTCTGAGGTAGGGTTTTCTTATCTGGCAATGGAGTGACAGAACCTACTATGTGGTGTTGGTATGGAGGTGAGAGAAGCTGATGCCCATAAGGGTTTCAGGAAGTGGCAGGTGTGTGGAGGAAGCACCTGGACTGGAAATTGCTCATTTGGTTGCTGTAGCTTCCTTTGAGTTGGTGTCATCATTCTGATTTTACAGGCTTCTCTGAGGCTTTGCTTCTGTGGGGATACCATATGCTCAGAGTCCCTCAATGAAATAGATAGTGGTTAAGCCAGAGTTTGTCTGACTCCACATTATCGCAGCTCTCTGCAGATGCCACGTGTGCATGTGGTGCTGAGAATCCACACACTAGGCTGCTGGGGCAGGGTCGTATCCTGGAGGAGCTGACAGTTGCATAGCTGATGTGGCTTCTCTGTCTTCCCCAACACAATGTGGTGTTGAGAAAAAGGGCCCCAAAATGGAAGTAAGGATTTGATAGGCTTGTTTTGAATGTTTTTTTTTTTTTTTAAACCTTAAGGTGGATGTGGTTGTGCTACTGTATAAGCAGTGAGCTTGGCACAGTATTTAATAGATGCTAATGAGGAGGGGAGGCTGGAAGCCAAGGCATGGCGAAGGGGTCCCACACAAATACCTGGATGTAGGGAGGAGAATTGAGATTAGATTAGATTTTGGGTGGAGTGGGGTTGTCTTCCAGATGTTCTTTGCTGATGCTACTAGCATAGTGGAAGCCAGGCCATTTGACATGGTTGAGGTGTGGAGAGGAATGTTTGATGACTTGTTCTTTATCTTTAAATCCCTTCATTATGATTTCCTTCCTATGCTGATTTGGCCTCCAAAGACCTGAGCTTGATTTTTATCCCCTCAACCAGTCACTTATGGTTGCCCCTGCAGCTTTGCTTTGTGAGAACATTGATGCACCTGCCATCCTACTAGAGAGGGTATGGGGCGTGCTGGGGATTACTGTGGGCCTCTAGTCTTAGTCTACTTGTGTTGCCCTGCCCGTTTTGGAGGTAATTCCCAGTCTGCTATGGTGCCTACTCTGCAGTGGCTTTTCTTTCTGCCACTTACATCCTATAACTTGAAGAGAGTCCTTTGAATCACTGCAAGTATTTTTTTTTTCCTGATAGCCAAGCAAGTATGATCTTGTTTTAATGGTTGAAGTATATTAAAATGAAGCTTTCACTGTACTTACACACTATAGGCAGGTGAGCTGTTGCAAGTGAATGAATAGGCCTAGGCAAGTGCAGAAGAAAAGGCCAGCCAGTAAAGTGCTGATTGCACTTACTTGCAGGTGATTAATTTGTCAGGAATCTCTGTTTATGTGGACTAAGCTGTAATGACTCTGCCTTGCACAGATTTAGCCTGAACTCCCCATTTCTTAGATGGCACACCCAGTGCTGCCTGGGGCTGGGGGAGGAATACCTGTATCTGTCAAATTTTCTGGTAAGTAGAGCAATAGGATTTACACTCCTAAGGATCATACTGCTGGGGAGGAGGTGTTTAGCTGGGCTCATTGCTTGGTCAGTCTTTTTTCTCACATGCAGTCCATATTCTTCTGAGCCTGGTTTAATTGTTTAATGTTCAGTGAGATTCCACAGAGAGTATCCCACCTGAAGCAAAGCTACACGTCCTCCGGCTCAGAGAGGCTTTCTCACTGAAGCCTCTGGGAGGTGTTTTGTGGTTGGGGCATGATGTCTAAAGGAAGACAAGTTCCTGCTCATGTCTTCTCCAGGGTTGTCACACTCCACATGCGGCGTGCATTTCAGTTCTGGCATCTGTACCCAGATTGAGCTTGTTGGGAAATTCAGCTGGCCACACAATGTCAGCTTGTTGCTTATAGTGAGAACTAGAACTTTCCAGATGCAGACCCACATGGTCAGGCTGATCCATTCTATGAATAGTCCGCCTTAGAAGCCAACTAGGCAACCCTGGCATTGGAGCAAGAGGACGTTGGGGAATACTCTTACTGTGTCTGTTGGGGTTGTGACGCTTCCATGGTGATCTCAATTCACACTTCCCACCTGGGCCACTGGCAGGACTGTCCCCTGCTATCTCCTCTCCCCTAGGTGGTGGTAGAGACATGCTGATAAATCTTTAGGGTCTTCACGGTACCTTCCTTCTGCAGAAGTAGTTTTTTAGATAAAATCCATCAGATTATTGCTGTAACCAGGCTAATAGAGTGAATTGATTTTCATCATTTCTTAAGAAGAATTTGGTTATGTTTCCTGGATTTCTGAGGTTAGTGGCCATGATCAGACTTGATGTTATTCCCAGAGCCTCTCAGCTATGCGTTTACTTGGCTTAACGTATTGCCCACATTCCCTGCTCCCCGGCCTTGGCAGCCTGTGGAGCAGTGTGTACTCAGCCGTTCCTTTTGTTGGGCAGCACGCTCCATAATGGGTGTGTGGGCTCCGTGCTTGGTCTCTGCTGCTCTCTTGGATGGGGTGAGCTCCCTTTATGTTTTGTTTTCTAAATTAGGTCTGAATGTTACAAAGCCTCACAGTTGACATCAGCTGCTTTGGAGTATGTAACTTCTTTTCAGCTGTTTGTGGCTTGACTTTAAAAAAAAATCTTTTATAGTTTTTTCCTGCCTGAAAATATAATAATGAAGCCAAAAACGATTGAACTCTCCTGTGCTAGGCACTGTGCTAAGGTTCCCATGTATCATCTCACGTGACCCTCGCAATACCCCGTAAGGGAGATAGTAGTATTTCTGTTACCTAGATGAGTCAACTTGAGATACAGAGCGTTTATGTAGCCCACCATGGTCACAAAGCTGCTGGAGGGATTCGGAGCCCTGGCTCTTAACCACAGTGCTCTCCTGGCCAGTAAGTAACTGGAGAAAGGTGGCACCTCAACATGGAGGGTAAGAGATTTCTTTTAGCCCTCTTCCCAGGGAGATGTGTGTGTGTCCTCTTCCCTTTTTATGATTCTAGGTATACATCCCTTTATGAGGATTCATTAGGTCGCTTATTCTTACTTTACTTGCATTCCATTCATGGGGGAGAAAGTTCATTATCACTGAATAAAGTCCATTTATCATTGTCACCCTGGATGGAGTGCCATGGCATCATAGCTCATAGTAGCCTTAAATTCTTGGGCTCAAGTGATCCTCTTACCCCAGCCTCCTGAGTAGCTGGGATTATAGGCATCTGTCACCATGCCCACTAGTTTTTCTGTTTTTAGTAGAGATGGGGTCTTGCTTTTGCTCAGGCTGGGCTTGAACTCCTGAGCTCAAGGGATCCTTCTTCCTCGGCCTCCTGGAGTGCTAGGATTGGGATTATAGGCATGAGCCACCCCACCTGGCCAATATTACTCATTTTTTAAGAGCAACATGTAGAAACACTTTTTGATTTGCTATGGTATGTTTAATACATACGCTGAGGTTCTGTACCCTGAGTGGTAGTGTATGCTCTGTATCTGTGCTGATAGTAGTGCAGTCAGAAATTGACTTTATCTCCTGATCAAGCTTGACTTCATCTAGTTATTCTGTAAAAAATTGTTAAGCCCCTAGTGTGGGTGGAATTCAAATGCCTAACTGGGATCATGTCGCATATAGAGTGAGACTTGAGTTAGTATGTCTTGTATGAATGTTCTGGTTACTTGGAAGATGGAATGAGTCTCTGCCTTTGGAGACTGTCCCAGAAGGGGGAGTACTGAACTGCACCTCAAAGAATGTTATATGGGAGTTTGACAAACAGAAAAGAGGAAGGTAGGTAGAGGACAGTGGTGCAAAGTCTGGAACCTTTGGGTATCAGAATAGCTAAAAGCTTGCACACAGGGTAGGTGTGAATGAAGGAGAAGGGGGAAGGACACAAGTGAGGCTTAACTTTTATTCTGTAGGAGGGGCGAGCTCTTGAAATCTTAGTAAGAGGAGTGGTATGTAAAATGATTTGATTTGTGTCTTAGGAAGATCACTTAGACATGGGAGGGATGTGGGAGGAAGGGTGGAGTTGAGGCAGAACTCATGTTCTGGTGGATGTGAGGCCTGGATGAAGGCAGACAAGTCACAGATGGCAGATACTGTTCAGCATGGAAGGAGGGATAGATTTGATGCCCCTGACAGGTCGAGGAATGGGTGGTGTTGGGAGGGAAAACAAGAAGAACTCCGTTTGCTTGGAGTGCGGAGAGCATGCAGTGTTGGATATCAAGTGCCATTCAGGGGTAATTGGGAATTACAGACTGAGGAGTGACTGGACCCTGGAGATAGCCTGTATCCAGGGAGCAGGCAGAAGAGGACCCCGAGGAAGGCAAGTCAGCCTCTTTGTACACCACGGCTGGTGGGGGAGGGATTTTAAGGCAGGGGAGTCCATAGTGTCAGACTACAGAGAAGATTAAAAAAGAATGAAAGAGTCTTTTATTATCAGCCTTCATTGTATCATCCTTGGTAGTCATGTAGCTACAAAAGGTTATAAAAGAAAAAAAGTCTGACTCTATGAATGAAGACTTAGTCTAAAAATGTTAGCACTGAGGCTAACAGGTTTTTCATCAGTGGTCTTCAGAACACCCACTCTCTGTGGGAACAGCAAAAATTAGTTGACTGAGATGATCCAAAAGTTCCTTGACCCAAGAGCCTGTAACTCTGGAGTGTCTTAATTTGAGGGAGAGGAAGACTATCTCTGGTTTTCAAGGGTGCTGGAGAGGTGCCTTTCGTGGCTGTCATGCTAGCTGTAGGGCTGCATTTCTGGGAGGGCTGCGTACCTAGGACAGCTGGTCCGAATCTTAGAAGCATGGACATTTTCTGAAGTCTAATAGGGGCATCTGGCTAGGGTCATGTGTAGACTAAACATCCCCAGTAAGACAGTTCTGCATGGGTGGGTATATTTGTCCGCTATAGAAGTTCTTAACTAACTGGCTTTAAGGGGAGTTGGATGGATTGACCCATTCCATTCTTGCTACAGATTCTATGGAAGTGAAACCCATCATGACCAGAAAGTTACGGAGGAGACCTAATGATCCTGTCCCAATACCAGACAAGAGGAGGAAACCTGCTCCTGATATCCATTTGCATTAAGCTTTAATCACTTTTTTTTCTTAAGACTGTTGAATCCTTTGCTTATCTATTAGATAGAGTATTCCCATTGGTCCTGTAGGAAGTAGTAAGAATTGATGGGAAGGCATGTGTAAAATATCTGTGGGATAGGGATTGGCCGTTTTGTTATAAGAGTTCTCAACTGGTGTTGGTGGGAGAGATTAATAGTAGTTATTTGCAAAGGGTACTTTGTGTTGGAAGCTCAGCCTGGCCTTAACACTAACTTCAGAATTCAGAGGCATCTGAAGACCGATGTGCCTTACTTTTCCCACCTGTAATTTTCTACCTTCTGCCTGTAAAATGAGGACAGTAATATCTGATTTTATGTGCCTCAGTTATCTATGTCCCTAAAATAGTAGATTGCAAACTGTTTTTAAATTAAAGCAAATGAGATTTCAGTCAGACATAAAGAAGCCCTTTAATCATGAAAATGGTACCAGGCCCAGGACACATGGAGAAGTGTTTCTATTCCTCTAGAGGAGATAATAAGTAACCCTTTGCCCAAAATGGTTATTTGTCTGCCATCAGGAAAGGGGATAACTTCAGGTCTCTTCACCTTCACAACTGAGCATTTAAGTTGCTGGAGAAGATTAACCTTACTCTGTGTGTGTGTGTGTGTGTGTGTGTGTGTACGTGCGCGCGTGTAAGTGTGTCGATCTTTGGAGTGGAAGCACTTTATAAATTCATGATAAAATGATGAAATTCTTATTTTGCTATTTCCTGTGTTCTTGCTACTATCATAGATAACTAATGAATCTCATTCCACCTTCCCATCACAGCAATTTGTAAGGTGAGGGATATGAATTCTTTTGTATACCTAAGCACCATGACAATTTAGTAGGAGAGTAAGAAATTTCAGAGAAACAAACTATTATTGTAAAAACGTTATTTAACATAGTCATACTTTGTAAATTTAGAAATGCTGGTGCTATTTTGTTGATTACTCTTTACCAGACTTTCAGATGTATTCCTTTAACTCTCAACACCCCAGCTAAACTATTTGTTAACAGATGAACAGATCATGGAGGATCTGAGGACATTAAATAAGGTACAGTTTGATCTTTAAAAATACTTTTATTTATTTCAAAGCTCAGGCTTGATGGTTTTCCACTTCACCTGTTCATATGTTACTTGTTAAATCCTGATACCTTTGACACCTGAAGTTGCATCTGAAATGATTTTCTCTAAGATTTTTTGTTGTTGTTCTTCCTACAGCTTAAGTCACCCAAGAGACCAGGTGAGTGCATGATGTATCGGCATTTGTGCATCTTTTCATCGTGGTGTTGGGAAAGCATGCGAGGACCTGTCAGGGAATTGTTGCA